TGGGGACAAAACAATGCTCTGGAGTACTATGGAGCATAAACGCCTGAAATCAGAGGCACAGCCACCCATTATTACTAAGAATGTTCCCAAACATAGAAGAAAAAGCACTCTGACATAATGTCTCTAATCCCAGCTCACACTGGCATTTTATCAATAAGAATACCATCATGGTACAATAACAACTGACCAAATCCCTTGGAACCAGATAAGCTTTTTGAGGAATAGACAAATCCCTTCCCATCTTCTGAGCACTTATTCTTTGTATGACTCATTGTGAAGATTTGTAATTTTGTTCTCAAAATGTCTTGCACATCTGTCACAGCAGCTCTCTTAAGTGTTTTCTGGAGGAAATGACAGTACGTTCTTAGCCTGTATAAAGAGGAAGGCTGCTTTAGAACCTTCGTTGGCACTTAGTAAGCATGACTGAATACTATGTTATGTCTAATCAGCTTCAAAATGAATCTTACCCCATTTGCACTCTAGCTTTTTTCATCATCTGGAACCCCCCAGAAAGATCATGGAGAAACCCTGATGTCATAGTGCTAAAGAAAGGGAATACTGTCAAAGGACCACCCTCCATGTCCATAAAAGGGATTACTACAATCCCTGACTCTGACTTCTATAAAATATCCCAGTACCATCAAAAATTCACCAGCTTCCATAAGTTTCTGCAGCAAAGTCCTTAATCTCTGCAGAATAGAAATGCCATCATGACAGAATAACAGAATAAGAGAATAACAGAATTGGAGTGAACTTAGAGATCTTCTAGTCCAACCCCCTGTTCAAGCAGGAAATCCCATACCATTTCAGGCAAGTGATTGTCCAATCTTTTCTTTAAAAACTCCAGTGTTGTAGCAATCTTGAGAAATGAGACAAACCATTGTGAACTTTGATCAGAACAATGAGTTAACACTAACTGCCCCAATATCCCTAACTATCCATCCCAACTCAGTTTAAAGCAAAAACTAAAATGAGTTTTGACTATTCATTAGCCTGATTATAATTTGACAGAGATCCATATATGTCATAGAGACCATGAAATTCCAAGCATACTAGGACTGTCTCAGCATAAATATCAACATTGTCTCCCAAAATTAGCTTCTTAGAATTACAGAGTTACATCACACTGGATACCACTCTTACAACTTAATCATCAAGGAAACTGAATGATAAGGTGGTGGTATACTAGTAATATCTTTATTCTGTTGATTCAGCAACTAGTAAAAACCCACAGTTGAAGTTTTCTCATAAATGGGAAGATATTCTGGCAGACCACAAAAAGTTGTTTAAATCTTGTCCCCACAACCAAGGAACCAAGTCAGCTGTTCTGGGTCAAATCCATACCAACCAGCTCATCTATCTGGAGTTCTGAAGCACTTACCAAGTCAATTCTTTCATTCATGGTCAAGTCATAAAGCAGTGCTGTAAAACTTTATAGTGATCTGACCTGGTATTTAACAGCAACTTTGCAATAGCTTTCATGGCTTAAATTTTATATTCTAAAGATAACTGAAATTCTACATTCAGATTTTGAAATAATTTAAGGCAACTCTATAGATTTGGTCTTGATTGCAAGACTTCTATATGTTAGTAGAATGAAGAAATAAATTGGAAACTCCATTACTACTAAAAAAAAACCACATGTAGTTAATGATTATTCAATGACCCAAAAGGTAATATTTAACATTGGTCTAAGGACAGTTATGTTACAAAAGCTCTGATCTCAAATAGCATTTGACACGATCTTTATTCTCTGGAACCATGCTACTGATTGAGTGTAATAATTTTCACCTAGTTTGCTGTTTGTTGAAAAATTCATTCTGTCAGCCTTCTGTCTCTCACCTGCGTTTTACACTTTTGCACTTGGGTTGAATGTGAATAAAATTAAGCTAATTAAAAATCATAAAGGAAGAATTTAGAACACATCAGCTAAATAGTGTTGGGATATTTCATGAACATATTGTAGTGTTGATTTTCTGTGCACGATTCTTTACATAATGCTGAATAATCTTGTATTACATAAATACACACTTTGCCATAGTCACCTAAATTTGGATATATTTAGATGTATCTTTTAAGGTTTTAGGGTTCGTTTATTAAAAGACAAAAAATATGCTCCCATACGATCATTTTGCATGAAGAAATTATCATAGGAGAATGGATTTAGCTAAAGAAATACTTAATTTATACAAGCTGAAAATATTCATATGCAGCAGACATATTCCTGTAAAGGTTGTCTCTAAAAATCCAACAAAGGTGGATTTATTAAAAGAATTATTTGATTTAATAACATCATTCATGAAAGAAAAAACATTTACATTTTTGCCTTGGGAAATAATTTCTCTTTAGAAAGTTATATTAATTTGTGGCCTATTTTAATGGTGAAATTGTGCAATCTCTCACTGAACACTTTATTATCAGGATAAATATAAACACTGTTGACATTTTCTTTTTTCCAAGGAAGACAGTCAGTCCAGTGTCTTCCTGTAGTTACGTGTACATAACTACAATTTACCTTTAGATCATACGCCAGAATTATTTTTTTTATAAAAGGTAGAAATTTGGCAGATTGCTGCAACTTCTGTGTGGTATCTGTGTTTGAACTGAATATGCACAATCATTGGCGAAAAGATTGTAGAAAATGTCTATCAAGGTTGACTCGTAATGTACCTCTACTTGCAACTTGACAACAGAAATGAAGGGAGGAAGGAGAAGAATACTTGGAATGTATTGGCAGCTGGGAGGGAGGTGAGGAAGTTATGTGAGCTAACATAACTCAGGTTTGCAGCCTGAGAAGATCCTGATACTTCAAGGCCGTGTGATGGGAACCTTCCGAAGGTGCAGAACGTTCCCCCCCCCCCAAAAAAAGGTCAGAGTCTGCTATGGCTACACTGGCATGTGTATCACGTACAGGAAAGCAGGATTCCCAAGAAGAGGTGACGTAGAATAATATAGCAGATGGAAGTGATATCCGTGGATAGATTCCTCTTCTAGGCACTTTTGTGATGACTTGGTCTTGCATTAGAAAGTAGATATTGGATAAATCTGCCATATTTACTGGCGCTATCCATAGCAATTAAAATATTTTCCTATTCCTCTACTCATTGTCTTCTATTGCTTCCCAGATGGTTCCTCTTATTCTGCCCCAAACCTCATTGCTTACCTTAGTCAAGGTACCAGAATGGCCTCTAAGTCAAAAGTAGATTGCAATTACTGTGACCGAGGGCCAAAAAAAAAAAAAAATCAAATCTGCACCAATTGTTTAAAATCCAAAACACAGACGCAGATGACTAGCAAGGAAACAAGAGATTATGTATGCCTGTCATGACAAATTGATTCTTTGAGGAAACTTGTGAAGCCAGCAGATTATCACCTACAGTATTTCCAATCAAAGATTACCTCCTAAAAATATATACAAAAGCTTATGAGGAAGAGTTTTCTACGGGGAAAGAAATAGCTTCCCCATCTTATTTGTTGCAATCCCAATCAGGTCAACCAAATGCAAGAGTTACTTCATTATTTCAATTTCCCCATACCAGGCAGGTCTGCAGGGAGTGGCTCAAAAAAGCCAAAATGGTGACCACAAGGTGCAATCAAAGCCTATCCCTCCCCCCCCCCATCTATGCTTTGTGCCAAACATCAAAGGGTCAGGATTTTGACTGCATAGTTGTAGCCACTTCTTGCCCTTTTTAAAAACCTCTTGAGACTATCCCTGTCCCCCATACATTGGTAAGTCTATGTCATCCACATTAGATCTGGAAGCCTGCTTTGGGTCCTATCGATTGAAAATGGCCATCCTATGGGATCCAGGAAGGGTGCCTTTGTCCTCATGGTGTGTATCCTTTGAAAAAAACTTGCCACCTGAGATTAGATTGGCTCCAATCCTCTTGACCTTTCAGAAAGTGCTGAAAACTTGGTCGTTTGCCCAGAAGGAAATTAGTGAAGCCTGGCTGGCTGATGTCATTCTGTGGTTTTTACCCCTGGCTATTGTATGATTTTATATTGTAATTTCTGTTGTAATCTTTGTTCACCAACCAGAACTCTGGAAAGGGAGGTGGCCATGCAAATCTAAACAAAGAAATAATATGGCTATTGACCTCAATGAAGAATGTAGTGGAGCTAAAAATGACATAGATATAGTCTGAGGGGTGGTAAAGGTGCAGGAGGTTTTCTCCACAGGGTGATTTTTCAGTCTTCACAAACAGGGAAATCCTGCAGAGCACAGCTTCTGGATTTCTTTCCAAAATCATTTCAAGCCGTGGTCATAGGAGGCACCAATAGATGTGTAAGGTGGTGTGTAACATAGTGAATTGCCATTTGTGTGTGCATGCATACGCCTGGGCGCTAAAATGTATAGTACAGCTAGATCAGTGGTGGGTTGCTACAGGTTTGCACCGGTTCGGGCGACCTGGTAGCAGCAGCGGCAGGAGGCTCCGCCCACCTGCCCGGATGTCATCAAATACGCTCTGCGCATGAGTGAACCGGTAGCAAAGGTAAGTGAAACCCACCATTGAGCTAGATATATTGGCTGTAGAATGGAACACTCAAAAATATTTTAAAATATTTTTTTCTTCTATAACCTCCAGTTTGATCTAGTCCATTTCTGAGCTGACCTTTCTTTTGTCAGCTTCTCTTCCCATGCCAATTTGATCCTGTACTGTTAAGTTTTCAGAGAAGACAGAGAGACAGATGGACAGAGTTCTGACCCTGCTTGCATAATTTCTTTCCGGCCTTCTGTTAGGCTGAGAAGAGAATGAGAGTCCCACGTATCCTTTTTCAAATATTCACACTTTCATGGTTCAACAATATTCTAAATATCAGTGCCTTTCTAAGTTCTGCTTCCCAATCCCACCCATCCATATTTTAAAAACTGTACATTTGTTTACTCTCTATGTATATCATAGCTTTATAAAATGAATTTCTGATTTTTTTCAAAAAAAATCAACACACAAATCAATTCAAAAGACATTTAAAAAATCGACTTTCCCATAGTCCAGCAATCCAAGTAGTTCTTTTATTTGAATACCTCATATTTGGGGGAATGATGCAGCTATCCTTCTACACATCCGTAACTTTCTACAAACACGTCTGAAAAGTTCTGCCTCAGAATCATTTTGCTTAGCAGCAAAATGTGCTATGTGCACTCTTCAAAATAATACCTCGGTAACCCAACTATTATTAAAAGAGTTTTTAAAAACAGTTTAAAAATGATGTGAGGAGGAGACAAAGAAATAATGAAACTTTCTGACCACAAGAATACAGAAGATTACTTTGTATGGTCTGTTTTTTCTGTTTGCCTGTCTTGCAAAATTGTAAAAAAATTTAATGAAGGTTTTGAATGATTTTTTTTTTAAATGGAAGGGAACAGTGCTCCAAAGAATTCAAACAGTCTGCTCTATTAATATAGCATGCAGACCTTTAAACAATAGATCTTTGTTTTCCAACTACTGCAAATGCCTAACAAGAACTAAATTGCCTTCTATATTCAATAGACAGATAACAAAAGATTTTCTTTTCCTCCATTCCAATTGATTCAATGATTCACTTGAGATTTAAAAGCACACATCAATGTTTATCAGTTATTATGGAATTATTCTGCCTGGCTTTATATGTGTATAGTTGTGTGAAATGTACCCAGGAGAGTACGTTGCGGATCCAAGCAATGTGGCCTTTTGTAATTGACAGGAGGAAATTTTGTCAATGTGCAGATTTTCTGTGTTGTCCAGGATTTTTTGATACAGCACCAAGAGTGCCAATAGTCATTGGGATCATTATTATCATCCCAAATCAATTCCCTAAAGTTTGAAGGCCTCTTTATTGAAGATTTGCCACCACCATTCACCACTGTACCACATTGGTCTCTTCTCTTCTTCCTCCCTCAAGCTGAGCTCAGCAACTGGTGATTAAATGGCATGCTGTCCATAATTCTCTTGAAATGCTCTCTGATTATGCTGAGGCCACAGAAGAAATAACTGAAGGTGATAAAGCACTTTTCATCTTTCTAAAGGGTTGTCACAAAGAAAAGGAATAACTAAAGGAAGCAGGTTCAGATTAGCATCAAATGGGATTTCCTGACCTATCAGCCACTGGAACAGGCAGCCACATGAAGCCCTGAGGTGTTTACTGGAGGTCTTTGTAGAGAGGTTGCCAAGAGGCTCTGGTGGACTTTATACAGTGACTACGTGCTATTGATCAGTTACAGGCTGTCACCTTCCGTGTATGTATACTAGGAAAAGTCTGGGACACAAGCTCTAGGACTTCTAAAGTGTCATTTAAGTCCATTTTTCCATTGCTGTCCATACAACTGGCTCCAAAGTGCACTATCCCTGGCAAATTAGTCCACCAGATTGGCTGTCAGAGAATTATGGACAGCATAGAAATAACACATCATGGGAAGTGACTGACTGTGAAAAGCTGATCTAAATTTAAATGTATTGCAAATGCAGAAAACTGCTAGAAAAAGACGTGATTAGCAAGTGGGTCTGTCTGCTTTGAGTTGGTACATCTTGATTACTGGTTTCAGCCCCCTGGGGATTAATTCTGGAACTGATGGCAGAAGGCGGAAAAGGGCTTACTTTGGTAATGGACAACATGTGCCCATCGGAACCTACTCATGCTTGTTTTTGTTTGTTTATACCTCTCCAAGCATTTGGCACCAGGATTTTCAGAAATTAATTTATATCATTTTCTCCCAACAGCATTTTACATTTCAATGCTGCCATTGAAATGGAAGGAGGGGGAAAAAAACTAGACACACTGACTGACATTGTGCTGAGACTGGTGTGGCAAGATCTGTTATACAAACAATGAAAACAGAATAAGTCCCAGCACAGAGCTGCTCCATTGGAACGCCGGGGCCAAATTGGCATTATCTTTCAACATACAGGCCACTCTCGACCAGGATCCATTGTTTGGCAGTGGCGGGATTCCGGCAATTTTGCACATAACATTATACACATCAACTGATCTGATTGGTGCAGCTCTGAAGTTAGACTTGAAATCTGAAACAAGACAAAGAGGGGTTTTAGAGCAGCAGTCCTCGCCAGAATGCTGCAAGCACATCTATTATTTAAAAAAAGTGAACATGCTGCCTGCCATGCACTGCGTCTCCAGGGGTGTGTGTAAAATTAAGAATACATTGGATAATGTATAACACAGAGCAAGCTAAGAATACATCAAATAAAATAATAAAATACATCAATAATAGTATCACAGTAGTTATACATAATTCAGGAGTTCTGTCATGAACTTTTAGTGCCAAAGTTAATAATAATCTTTTCAGCATGTATGTAGACCATCACTGTCATACATGGTTTAATTTGGAGGATGGGCAGGGCATGAATGGTATAACAGAAAAAAGTTATGACCATTAAGGCCAAGAGAATAGCCAAAAGACAGCATAACAAGAGGCTAGTGAGGAATGTTATCTGTAGCATTATGGAGCTTATCTATGCTGGGAATGGCACTTTAAAATAAACAGTCAATATAGAAATGTATATTAAAATAACTCAATTTTGAACCTCTCCCATTAGCAAATCAGCAGCAGCGTACTTTGTGTTAACACAAAGAGCTGACACAATTGCCCCAATTAGGACAGAATGTCTTTCTCCAGACTTGATTAAGATAAGAGCAATTGTACTGGAGTGTTATGGTGAAAAAGGATCTATGAAGATGGTTAGCCTTAAATACTTTTTCCGAGACTCCGATTCTAGAAATCAGTGTTGATGTCAGGGTTAAATAATTTAAATTTCAAATGTTGAAAGATATATGCTTTTCTGTTCTACCATCTATAGTAATTCATATATGCATTAACAAAAAAGAAACTTTTTTAGTTATCACCTGTTAATGGATTGTAACTGCTGAAACAAATTTTAATGACATGGCTGGCCATTATACTGTCAAAGCAAAGAGAATGTTACTTGGAAATGAGACATAAAATCTGGAATTGGATAAATTCTGAAACCATCTTCTTTACTTTCCTGGAAAATCCAAATCTATGCATCAGTTATAAGCACCCCAATCAATAGAGATACAGAAGAAAGGAAGGGAGGAAAAGCTATATGGTCATAATAATCATCAGTTGTCCTACCTGGTCCATATGCAAAAAAGATTCCTCTCATATCTATGAATTCGTTATCATAGCCATGCCATCCCTTCTGCCAAGCTTCTCGTTTTCCAGTGCCATTATCCCAAAATGGAAGTGATTCTCTGCTCTTCAGAGTGAAAAAAATATTATTTAATATATATGGTTGGCATAAGATGGTTAAATCATTGCAGTATACAGGTGGTCCTTGACTTACAACAATTCCTTTAGTGACTGTTTGAAGTTACAACAGCACTTTAAAAAGTGACTTTTGACCATTTTTCACACAAATGACTGTTGCAACATCCCCATGGTCACGTGATTTACATTTGGATGCTTGGACAACTGGTTCATATTAATGACATCTGCATTATCCTGGGATCATGTGATTCCCATTTTGCAACTTTCTGATAAGCAAAGCCAATGAGGAAACCAGATTCACTTAACATCCGTGTTACTAATTTAACAACTGCAATGATTTACTTAGCAAAGGTAGCAAGAATAGTCATATAATGGGACAAAACTCACTTAACAAATTTCTCACTTAGCAACATAAATTTTGGGCTCAATTGTGGTTATAAGGCGAGGTTGCAAAAAGTGATCACATGACCCCAGGACACTGCAACGATCATAAATGTGAGTTAGCTATCAAGCATCCAAATGTAAATCACATGACTATGGGAATGTTGCAACGGTCATAAGTTTGAAAAATGGTCATGTTATATTTTCAGTGCCACTGTAATTTTAAATGGTCATTAAAACAAATTATTGTAAGTCAAGGACTACCTGTACTAACAGATTCAGGCTGAACAGAGAACTTTAAATTTTTTAGCTTCGACATACTGCATAAGTAACTGAACCCACAGCAGTATCTAGCAGTGGTGAAATCCTCTGAAATCTGCTATTGGTTCTGTGAGTCTGCTACTGAGAGCACGCAGCACTATAAAAGGAACATTTTGAAGTTTCCGAGTCTGCAAAGGTAAGTAGAACAGCGAGGGGGGTGGAAATCCACTGTGCCACACGATTTAGATTAGCTAGAAAGCAGGAAATCCGATGATTTTAGCTAATATAAATCGCACATCACAGCTGATTGTCGGAAATACTGGTTCACCCGAACTGGTAGCATTTTTTACTACTGGTTCACGCGAACCTGTCCGAACCAGTAGCATTTCACCCCAGGTATCTAGTACTGTTGAAAGATTTAATTTGAATTATAGCTTGCTGGCTGCAGAGTTTGCAAATTAGGTAAACCTTGGCAGGCCAATAATTTAATGCTAGCAAAGATGACAGACACTGTTTCATCATGTACAAACCACTGGTGGTTAGCTTTCTGGAACTGAATTCAACAAAGCCATGTAAGGGGGTGGGGCCCTCCAACATTTCTATATGGTATTGAATTGTGCCTTCCCAATGCCAACTGTATGGACAAATGTCCACCACCTTGATCTATTCCCTAATACAATCTGCCAGTTATAAGACAGTTCCTAAATACCGTGTTTCCCCCAAAATAAGACCCTGTCTTATATTTTTTTGAACCTTGAAATAAGTGCTTGGCCTTATTGTCATGGACTCAAAAGCCCAATTGGGCTTATTATCAGGGAATGTCTTATTTTGGGGGAAACAGGGTAGGAATGAGTCTCTAGAAAATTAAGATTTATTCTTGAGTCTGAAGTGAAGCTTGAAGATCACATGTCCAAAGCATGCGAATTTATGCTTGCTGATGAGCATTTCAATAAAAGAAACAGACTTTCTTTGTTGGTAAAAAAAATAATAATAATTGGTTCTCACAATAAGTTCATGAAGTTTATGATATTCTTAGAAACAGAGAAACTGTTTCCAAATCCTTAATTCAAAATCTTTCCCCTGTTTTTTCTCCAGTGTCCAGCATTCATAAGCCTACATTAGCAATGGAAAATCGAAGTTCCTGCCCCTATGTAGGTTGGCTTTGTTCATGCTTGGGGGGGGGGGAGTTTTCATTGCTTCCAGCCTCTTTTGTGGATTAGCTTTAATTTCAATCTTAATGAGTGACCCTACCAGGACCACCTCCTCCCATTGCTTTCAAGGCCATTGCAGATACCATTATTTTAAAATTGTAGCACAAATAGAAGCTGAGAAAATTAAGAAAGAACACCCAAGATTAATTTATGATATTATTAGTTCCAGTTCACCAAACTATAAATTGGAAGTAATCACTGACTGATTGAATTATTAGTCAGTGATTTATTTGTTGGCATTACTCATGAAACATTCAGGATTGCTGAAAAAGTAAAGGCAATTTCTGCTATCAGTAGAGACAATGTCTGTATGAACCTGGCTGTAGCTAAAATTATGTGTCTTATATTCACTAGATGAAACAGTTATGCATAATCATATTGAAATTATGTGTATTTATTATTCATGTTATGCATATTTATCATTAGCATAATCAAGACAAATTTTTAGGAAGTCGGAGACAATATCATGTCTGACCAATATGCACGCATTTATTTGATAACAATCCAGCGGGCTTTGACCAACAAATTCTAGAAAATGTCAATAGTCTCAATAACTATTCTGTTTCTTTTGTTTCTATAATAGCTATTCTTTTCCAGTCCGTGGACTGGCACCAGTCGGCAGCATGCCAGCAACTGGGCCGCACAAACAAGCGAAGCCCCATCCGCAGGATGCAGGTAGCACTTGCAAAACCATGTCCCCTCCGATCTGCGGAAAGCCCTTTCTCCACAGAATCAGTCCCTGGTGCCCAAAATGTTGGGGGCCGCTGTTCTAAATTGTTCATGGAGAATCCCAATTGATAAAAATCAGGTTGTAGGAAGCACTTACCTCTACTATGAACCATCTTTCCTCAGCTACCAGTGTCAACGGAGAAACAAATTTTCCTTTTTTATAATAAAATCTATCAGGGATATCCTCTTTTCTATAGACTGTCATATGTGGCACATTTTTCAGTTTGTTATATATCTGCAAAGGAATAAAAGCAGTGAAATTGCTTTCAGTGTACAGAATTATTTCACACCTAAGTAAAGGATCATACTGAAAATCAAATGACTTGTCAAGAAGATTTTCCTTTAAATACTCCTACTTTTGCTTCTTGCAGTCTGTTAGGAAAAATTCCCAACAATAAACAGATAAAAGGTCAGATATTAGAGAGTAGGAAGTTTGATTTTCTTCTACTCTTCTTTTTGTGGTTTTTATAGCACAAAGTCTTCAAAAACAAATGCATCAAAACACCTTATAAGATTAAAAATAATGTCAGAAATTTCAAGTTGGAAAAGGGCTATTTAACTTTGCTGGAACTGTTTTGATGCTATATTGACCATACTGGAACTGTGCCAATCTCAAAATTGCCCTGGTTGTATTGAGCTGGGAGGCATTTAAAATGACCCGAACAGCCATTTTAAACTCAGATCAGGATGTTTTAAACTGAAAACTAGGGGTCTGCATTGAACATGTTTTGCATACTACTAGTATTAAGAATACTAGTAGTATGAAAAAGCGCCAAAGAATTGAGCACCAAAGAATTGAGACCTTTGAACTATGGTGCTGGAGAAGACTCCTGAGAGTCCCTTGAACTGGAAGGTGATCAAACCAGTCAGTCCTAGAGGAGATCAACCTTGACTGCTCTTTAGGCTAGATCCTGAAGATGAAACTCAAATACTTTGGCCACCTAATGAGAAGGAAGGACTCACTGGAGAAGAACCTAATGCTGGGAAAGATTGAGGGCAAAAGAAGAAGGAGTTGGCAGAGAATGAGGTGGCTGGATGGAGTCATTGAAGCAGTCGGCGTGAGCTTAACTCCAGAGGATGGTAGAGGACAGGAAAGCCTGGAGGAACGTTGTCCATGGGGTTGCAATGGGTCAGACATGACTTCGCAACTAACAACAACAACAACAAGTATTAAGAATGAGGGATTTTAATACTCAGAACAAAAGTAATTCTTGTTTAATAGGAACCTTGCCTTGGAAAATTGCTGACTATTCTGAGAAATCTTGGAAGATAGAAAGTTTGGTGTGGTGGTTAATGCACCAGGCTAAAAAGCAGGAGACCATGAGTTCTAGTCGCACTTTGGCTATGAAAGTCAGCTGGTGACTTTGGGCCGGTAACTTTCTCTCTCAGCCCAAATCACCTCACAGGGTTGTTGTCATGGGGAAAATAAGAGGAAGAAGGTGTGTTGGATATGTTCACTGCCTTGTAAAAATAATAAATGCGGGATACAAATGAATAAATGGTGCCATATTAAGTTTTTGGTAGTCCCAGGCAACTTAGTTGAGTTCTTGGAATTTATTACATCTCACCAAGCTTTTTGCAATATAAGAGAATATACAAGTAGTCCTTGACTTACAACAGTTCATTTAGTGATTGCTCAAAGTTACATCAGTACTGGAAAAATTACTTTTGACCATTATTCATTGCAGCATCTGCATGGTCACATGATCAAAATCCAGACGCTTAGCAATTGACTAATTGCTATTTATTGATATTTATGACAGTTGCAGTGTCCCAGGATCATTTGATCACCTTTTGTGACCTTCTGAAAAGCAAAGTCAATGAGGAAGTCAAATTCACTTAAGAACCATGTGACTAATTTAACAAAAGCAGTGATTCCCTTAACAACTGTGGCAAGAAAGGTCATAAAATGGGGCAAAACTCACTTAATATGTGTCTCGCTTAGCAACAAAAATTTTGGGCTCAATTGTGGTCGTAAGTCGAGGACTTACATAGTCATAGCTCAGTGCACTTATGATCACCTCATTAAGAAATAAAATGCCTGCAAGCAAATAACCAAGCTCGGGTACATCAAGGATTCCAAGCTGTTTATATAAAGATAAAGGGAAAAGGGAGATGGGTCTTCTTTGTGACTAGTTCAAACCTAGTTAAAGATTTTCTTCTTTCTTCCAGTGACAGTATTTTGGAGGAACAGATTGGGGATTTCAGGGGGAAAGAAAAAGAAAAACCTCACTACTTTTCAAGTTTTGTAACATACATAGCCATCTTTTTGCAAGAAATCTAACTTGGAGTACCTTGACAGTCTTTGCTACTTTCATACATATTGACAAACTATAGATCAGTAAACCAATCAGTTAAAAATATGTACCATGTAAAGTCTATTTACCTCTGTTCTACACTACAGTAAACCAGTGTAAAGCTTCATAATAATTCCAGTAGGTTGATGGAAATCCCAAATTCCAAAGGAAATCCATAGAAATGTATGGTTCTTTGTTTATGCAAGGTGATGATATATGCCTTCTTATACTTGCTGAAAAGAACAGAAAACAAGCACACGGCTGCAGATATGCCTGCTGAAAAGTGTGGATGTTTTTGAAGATTAGCCACACCTAGAGAAATTATTCATGAGCAATGCCTTTCTGTCTCTGGCGGTAATTTGCATAGGTGAAAGGGAAGAGATGGACAATGTAGTGGTACATCTTTCTTTCAAATAAAGGGATTTTTTTTATGTTAAGCAATTTTAATTAGTTATTAGTTTTTATTTATTTTTGCACTGCCTTTTTCTGAAATAAGTAAAATAAATCTATATCTAATGCAGTGGTGGAATTCAAATTTTTTTACTAATGGTTCTGTGGACGTGGCTTGGTGGGCGTGGTGTGGCTTGGTGGGTGTGGCTTGGTGGGCATGGCAGGGGAAGGATACCGCAAAATCTTCATTCCCACCCCAGTCTGGGGCCAGCCAGAAGTGGTATTTGCTGGTTCTACAAACTACTCAAAATTTCCGCTACCGGTTCTCCAGAACCTGTCAGAACCTGCTGAATAGCACCCCCAATCTAATGTCTCCATACATGTTTGCCTATGTGTGTGTTGTGTGTATGCATATATTTGTGTGTGGATGTGTGTGAGATATCTACTCACTTCAGAAATTGGGAAGAATTTCAGGATTGATTTCAACTGAAGTTTGATATTATGCAGAAGTTGGACATTTGTCTGTGTTGATTTTTTTTGCCCAGCTACCCTTCTCTTATCAAGGTCATCTTAAATTCAGAGATTCTTCCTTCCAGATAAATACAGTATAGACAGTTTACAGTATATTCCTATGAAGATAAAGAAGAAGACACTCTTCTTTGTAATTAATGTGGAAAATATGAAGATTCCTGGCATTCTTTCCATGTTCCTGTCCTTTGCAGAACATTCCGGACTGTTTGTGAAAGCATAAACCTATCAAGACAACTTGGCATATTAAGCACATCAACAAATAGTCTAAACTACATTAAGAAAAAAAAAAGGTTGCTATTCTTGCCTCATTTTCCTTGCCTTTCTCTGGCCACAGGCTTACAACTGGCCCTCGGTCTTTCACTTTAATAACATCACTCATGTTGATACAGTTTTTCAGTTCGATCACTTTATCCATCCAGTCAATATCAGTCATCCCATGATCAGAAAAGAAAACAACATTTAAATCATTCTGCAAATTCTTGTCCTGTCAAGAAAGTTTTAAAAAAATAATTACAGCATGAAAAGGAGACGGTTTGCTCTTTTTTGTTTTTTCAAGCTAACAATATCGCTAATAGTTGCCATGCTGCTGTTAGGTGAAAATGCATAGAAGGTCAGCTATGTTGATGACATTCAAACAGATGATTTCAGAAGCTTCATCATTTTTTACTTGATCTGAAAATTTGAAATCAGAGGAATGAAATCAGGGGAATCAGAGGAATGCTTTGGAAGGACAAGTTGTACTTCCAAAACCTGAAGCAAAGTTTTCTCTTAGTCCAACACAATTGACAAAATATAAGGAGGCAGAGAAACTGTTCACCCATCATTTTCTTCGACAGCACCTTTGGTTACACTTATTAATTAATTAATTAATTAGATTTATTTGCCACTCATCTCACCTTGATAATTAAGAATTAATTAATAAGAATTAAGACTATTATATAATTTCTTCCAGTTAAACATTCCCAGGTAACAGAGATTTGGACACAAAATTTGTGATTCTGGAAATTTGGGGATCTTTATGTAGGATCTTTTAACATGAAAAAAGTCGCACATGCAAGCCAGTAGCCTTCACTTTATTACTACATTTTTGGTATGTTCCATTTTCCACTTTCTCAAATTAGTTTTTGGGGGATAATGGACCCCCCCCCATCCATTTTCGGTTTCTAGTAAAACATGGATCTCACCACCCTTGGACCTCCATGCCAGCTTTTGCACACAGATTACTGAGTTGTATAACATGTAGTACTGAAGGAGTGTATACAATTTGTTCTACCATAATAATTTCACAAATGTGAAGACCTTTCCCAAAGTCAAAATCCCATTCTTCAGTGAAGGAGTGCAAAAATCACATGAGAACGATTACTTAGAAAATTTCCATTAAAAATATTCTGAGTATGGGATCTAATGGAGATTCACTGGCTTTGGAAAACTCCTCAGACTGAATGTAACATCTTGGGATGTGCATGTTCCTTAATATTCAGAATAGAAGCAGTAAGTAACCTATGAAGTAGTCTTTACTGAATCATTGCAAATATTTAATAAAAAAGTTGAAGAGAGTAAAAGAAATATCTTTAAAAGGATATTGTAGCTTCAAAATGACAGAAACCTTGATAAGCTTAGACATCCTGAGCAAAACGTTATCCACTGCTTTTACAGCATTCTTCCTCTGATAAGATGAAGGGCCAAAACGATGACCTTCTACATCAATCCGTTCATAGTATATGGCTGCCATATCAGCTGCACCATTGCTGTAATAGGTACATAACCACCAAATAATTAAATGTAACAAAACTTACTTCTAGAGTGCCTTTTCAATCTGATCTGGGTTTTTTTCTTGCTCTTTTGGCATGTTTTCTAAGAGAAGAGTTAGCAAGGAGATTCTTTGTTCTCTTAATTCTTCTTGTTTTATTTTCAGTCTAAAATAAGCCTAGGTGGACATCCCAGCCCTAACCACACAGCTTCTTCCCCACTTCCTCATTAGTTAATTGGCATTGTTATTCTGATGGGTGATTCTTTTATATCAGTTCTGATGAATCAGTTGTCCTACAGAAGCAATTGAACTTCATTGTGTTCCTGACTTTGGCTCTTCTGAAAGAGGTTGCCAAGAATTATAATTTAAGCATTTTTGGGAGGTAAGATTTCCTCTCTACTATTTTAAACTTTTCATAGATTTTTCAAAGTGCCTGATTGTGCAGGGACCTGTTGGCGAGATCTTGCTTAGACACTTTTTTGATGTTCAGATGAATCTGAACTTGGAAGGGAGAACCTGCTTCATGAGGTTACCTCCACTCCCCATCTAAATACACTGTTGTAGTATTACTTGAATATTTAAATTAAGTCTTTATCAAAGTCAGATCTGCAAAGCTATGGTTTATTCATGATTAGATCTCCAATCATGGGTATTATCTACTTTCTGAAAGTAGTTCAAGGAATGGAAAAGGTGTACCATATCACTAAAATCTTCTCCTTTGTACCAATTTCTTAATCTGTATTGCTTTATCATTCCTCATCTCCTATTTGGTTCATGGAGGAAAACATGCAAGACAAATTCAAAGTATGCAAACTTCAGAAAATGGTATAGGGCAATTTTTTAAACTTCAGTATATTGTCTCAATGCATAAAAGTTTAAAAGAAAATCTGGAAATGGAGGATGGTTTCTTCAGAACACCTCTAATCAACCTTTAATTTCAATTAAGTGTATGAAGGTAAGTCTTGTCTGATTATGTCTCTAATTAATCTACAAAAATAGAACAACGATACCTAAAATGCCACTAGTCTATCAGTATCAAAGTAATACATAAGGAAATGTTTCTAGAGATAAATGTTAATAGTACTGTGCTTACAGAAAACATGACTATTGCATTCTGTGTTGTCTTTTCTTAAAAGTACTAAGTAAAGCAATATATATTAATTGTCCTTTGCCACTTTTTGTAATGGCATTGATAAACATTTATTTGCAAGTACAAGGCAATAAGTTAACAATATTATGCAACATTTGTGATCCACAATCTAACTCTTGAAGTAACTTCTTTTGAGGTGAAATGCTAGGTTAAAAAAACAATTTGACTAAAATTTTTCAGTTCCCACAAAGTTTGAATAAATCTTGCATGTAGAATAGGACTCGTCATCAGACAAAATTAGGCAATGGCCTCATTAAGCAAATCAATAGAACAATACAACCCCCTTGATTTTCATTTATTAGCACAAACTCCATGTAATGTCAGCTGCTTAATTTTCAAGTCACTGTTTGGATGTCAAAAATTGAGGCTCCCTATCTTGATTAGAGATTCTGTCAGTTTTTGGCTGAAAATTATCCCCCTCTATTCACCTTAAAAGTGAACCTTGCAACTGGAAAGAGAATGTCTGAAAGCAAATCCTGCAAGAGAGATTTTCAGCATGATGTCCTAATTTAGACTGGAAGCATGTTTTCAATTTAACTCTCACCACTGTTATTTATCCAAAATAAAACCAGCCAGTTTCAACATGAGTCATATGATGTCTAACTTGGTCTGACAGTGATGCTGTTATACAATTTTCAATCTCCTCATTATCCTTTATTTTTGTTCATATGGAACTCATACTGGATCAAACTACACCTTAGTTTCCCAATGTTCATATGTTAGCTGGGTATATTAGAATACTAAACAATATGTCTTTTAAGGTTCATAAGAACAGTGACTTTGTCAAGTAAACATAACAGGAAAAGTTCCACTATGAAGATTTTTTTGCATTTTTTGCATTAATATTTTCCTCTACCACCAAACAATACTTTATGGAAAATGTAGAAGATTTTATGCTATTATCAAACTGATACAACAAGATCATAACTTTTCATTTTTCTGTCAAGGAAATAATTAAAATTGTTTGATGATTTTACCTTAAAGACTCAATGGCATTATTTACAGCATTGGAGAAATTGGCATCCGTTGGAACATTTTCATACGGTATACAATAGTTAGGTCGAATTCCAAGGATTTCAATTTCACAGCCTAAGAAAAAACATTTCATTAGTTAAATCTTGCTTAAATTTTAAACCTAGATTGTGTGATATAAATTCAGGTTGTTTCTCGGATGGATTTTGGCTCTCAGACTGAAAGTTCATTTAAAAAAAAAAATGAAATGAGAATAGAAGAATTCATATTAAAATCATCAATATAAATATTCACACTGAAAGATAACTATTGATGATCAATTGACAATGAAGTCCATGTATCTGCATGTGTACATATGTGCATGTTTGTCTATAAATAAAAAAAATCTATAATGCAACTTGATTTTTCACGATTTGGTGTTTATTTTATTTGAATTATCATTGCACTAAATAATAGTTCATTAATTATAATTCATTAGTTCATTAATTATAATTCATTAATTCATTAATTATAATTCATTAATTATAAGCAGATATCTCAAACTCTAAGAAGAATACTAATTTCAATATCTTCACTCAAAGATGGAAGCAGATGCAGGTACTATGCGTCTATTTGTGTACATACACACACATACCATCTTTGTCCTCAACTGAGTTCTACATAATCTCGAACAATTTTTTCTTTCTGTTAGAAGTAATGTTATTTGACAAAAATGGTTGTCAAATTAATTTTTAAAAAACTAACTGTAAGTCAAAGAACAGCTTTATCCAGTTCACTACTTTTTATAAAAAGAATGTATCAGACTCTTGATCTATTTCCCCATACAGTCTTCTTAAAGCTGTTTGAACAATACACTTGCTGACACCACAATTCTTTTTCAACAAATATGTTACGCTGAGATTTAGAAACTAGCAGCAACAATTCCCAAAGCGAAACATCAAGTATGGATAAGGAGACCCACCATATTAATATTTATTGGTGCTCTACTCACATAAAAAATACAAGAATTTAGTTTTTAATAATTCAGATCTTCTGAAATCATAGAGTTGTGATAATTATTTCCATGGCATACAGTCAGATAAGATGGAATAAAGGGAAATATAGAAAATTTTGTAAATAGGTTAGAATTCATAAATTAGGGCAATTTGTTTCTTCTCTTGAGGGTAGCAGATATCCTTCAATCAAAGGTTGGAGAAATATTAGTTAAATAAAGAAACTATGGTTTGAAGAAAGTTGATTAATGCCAGCTTAGTCGATTTGAGTGTGGTTGGGGAAGGTTAAGACGTAAAAGAATTCTTTCTTTTCTAAATTACAAAGAAACTACTGTGTTTTCCCAAAACTAAGACCGCTCCGGATAATAAGCCCAAATGGGTTTTTCAGCACATGTGTTAAAATAAGCTCCCCCCACAAATAAGCCCCCCACAAACTACTTACATACATGTGCAGCCGGTCCCGCCATTTCCTCTGGTTGCTTGCCACACAAACAATAGGAGGTGAGGAGGCGAGGCCGGAGGGGGGCACCTCCCCTCCCTGTTCTTCATGCCAGCTGGCCGCCGCCACTGACACGCCCTGCCACTGCCACTGCGTCATGGAGCAGGACTCTGCAAGGCTTGTTGTGCCATTGCACGCAAGAACTGCAGCACCATTGTGAGCTCCATCATACCAGCACAGGTGGCATCCTGCTGTTCATGGCTGCACCGGAATATCGAACCTCGCGGCAGTGCTGCCGTTCATGTGTGCAATGGCACAAGCCTTGCAGAGTCCTGCTCCACGAGGCGGCGGTGACAGCGTGATGAGTTTCATAAAGGCTCATTTATGGCAGGTGGGGTTGGGGAGAAGCAAGATACGTGGAGCGAGACGTGGTTCCCTTTGCCATCTCTTCTCCCCCCCTTGCCAGGCATGGGGTGGCAAGTGGGGTGGGTGAAAAGCGGGACGCACATCTTACCTTTCAAGCTCCATGGCATTCCTCGCTGCTGTGTCCAGGAAACACATTGTAAAAAAAAAATTATTGAACTCGCAAGAAGTTTTCTTTTACAACATGTTTCCCTGGACACAACGGCGAGGAATGCCACGGAGCTGGAAAGGTAAGACGTGCGTCTCATGGCCCAACACGTCCCACCCCACCCCAATGACAACAGCAGACTGGCTGCTTCCCTTCCCCACCATCTCTTTATTGAGAGGAGTGGCAGGGGAGAAGGGGGACACGCGTCTTACCTCTCAAGCTCCGTGGCATTCCTCACCATTGTGTCCAGGGAACCATGTTGTAAAAAAAAACCTCATGAGTTCAATAAAGGGTGAGAAGCATGTCCCACTTCTCGCCTGCCCACTTCCCACCCCCAAATTGCATCCCTAAAGGGGGCAAGTGGCTAAGCAAGGGGCAGGAGCCCTGCCATGCCTGGTGAAGACGGGAAGGAGGAGAGATGGCAAGGGAAGCCACGTCTCGCTCTATGCGTCTTGCTTTTCCCCCACTCCACCTGCCACCCCTCTCAATAAAGAGATGGCGGGGAAGGGAAGCAGCCAGGCTGCTGTTGCCATTGGGGTAATGTGGGACATATTGGGCCATGAGACGCGCGTCTTACCTATCCAGCTCCATGGCGTTCCTTGCCATTTTGTCCAGGGAAAGTCTATGAACTTCTGTTCTTAGGTATTTAGTAGGTTCAAAAATATGCTAACAGACATTTTTTGGCTGCTGTGAAATACTTTAATAAAACTTGGTACCAATTATTTCAAAAGTAATAATAATTATTTTTATCACTACTCCATTGCAGTACTGCTAGACACAATGATTTAAGTACAATATTTAGCAGCAAACATTTTAAATGAATTATTATATATTATTTAATTATTAAAACATATCCATGTTTGAATATTATCAATATTTAAATACAAACACCCTTTTTTCATTATTCTATGCTAATTTTAATAAAGATAATATAAGCTTGTAATATAATGTAATATAAGAGAATTATCACCAAAAGTCACTATATTTGGATGGAATTGAGGAACATGGTGGAAAAAGAGTTTGTAGACTATAAGCTTGTCGTAACCAAGAAAAGAAGACTGGATTGACCTGTTCCTCTGTTTGTCAAAACAGAGCAAATCAATTTGCATTGCTGCAACACTATCCATTGTGTTGAATTTCTTAATATAGTGTTGTATAAAAGGCATGACTAAGTACACACACAGGAGATGACTTGAACTCCGTAGGACCAGAATGAATCAATAACAGTCTTATTGCCTCACTCTACGGGTAGTCCTCAATTTATGATCACAATTGAACACAGCATTTCTGTTGCTAAGTGAAACATTTGTTAAGTGAATTTTGCCCCATTTTGTGGCCTTTCTTGCCTCAGTTGTTAAGTGAATCACTGCAGTTGTTAAATTAGTAAAGTTGTTAAGTGAATTTGGCTTCCCCATTGACTTTGCTTGTTAGATGGCTGCAAAAGGGGAACACATGGCCCTGGGACACTGCAACTGTCATAAGTATGAGTCAGTAGCCAAGAGTCTGAATTTTGATCATGTGACCATGGGCATGCTGCAATAGTCGTAAGTGTGAAAAATGGTCATAAGTCATTTTTTCAGTGCCGTTGTAACTTTGGTCACTAAATGAACTGTTGTAAGTTGAGGACTAGCTATATGGATATGCCAGCACCATCTTGGCCACTTATATCAAATCCCATACATAGAGACAATGCAATGACTAACAAAGACAACTACAAAAGCAAAAGTTTTTTCCAAGAAAAGTTGGTTTGAACTCCACCCCCCCCCAAGCTTCTTCAGCCTTCTGTTCAATTTGCTGTGGAAGAACTTCAAACTATTCAAGTGAAATTTGAAAGTGTGTGTGTTTGTGGGTGTTTTGGGTTGAAGGAAGTGAAGGAACAAGCAGCAAATCTTTCTTTTTTCTTTTTTTCCTCTGATGAAAGCTTTCTGTTGGCAGAGGAAATCTAGATTCCACTCAGATCCTATAATCCCACATGTGCATTAGTATTTTGCTGATATTTTTGTACATGGTGATCCCCTATAGAAACTCCTATTAAAACGCAAAGTATTCAGTTTCTCAGTTATTTGGCAAGTGTTTTAACCTCTAGGCTACAAGGAATACAAATAATTCATAGAAAATGGATCACTTATTTTTCTGCTATCCCTCTCCTTAGATTTTTTTTTTTTTTTTTTGCATAGGGTTTCCTGTCGTGTGGAACAGTCATCACATAATAGCAGGGCAGTGTTGCTCCACCTAGTACTCTGATTGGAAATTATGTTGTAAAATGCTTATTGAAATCATTCCAAGTTTTACCGTGAGAATAGTTAATCATAAACATAGTCGTGCAAGGGTGGTTACAACTTATCATGCATCTATAATCTGCCACTAGGACGAAGGAGAATAGAATAACAGTATAATAGTATGCAGCATAAATTATCCAGAAAAACATATTATGCTTGGATATCTCATGATTTTTAAAGTACCGTATTTTTCAGACTATAAGACGCACCTTAATTTTTGGGGAGGAAAATAAGAAAAAAGCTGATTGGAGGTGGATTGGCCTCCCAGAATACCCACAATCAGCTGTTCCCAGAGGTGAACTTTAGCAACAGGTTTGCTGGTTGTGAGCTCTGCACCTTGCTTTTTTTTTCAGCCTCTGAAACCTCTGTTTCATGTCACCCAGATTTTCACCTTTTGGGGAGTAAAAGGGTGTGTCTTATACTCCAAAAAATACAGTACATCTTGTTCCTTTATATTAAACTTGAAGCAATCTAACCTGAATATGTTTGTAAATCATTTTAAACAATGCCCTTCAATGTACTTTGCAAATATAAGAAACAAAGAAAATAGTGACAGGAGAAGTGTATGTAATGAGCAAAATTATTGATTAAAATAGGGAATTCTCCATGGCTAAGAATAAAAGATTTTCCCCCAGTATGTTATCCTCCAGAGCGTGGTTCTCCAACCTTGGCAATTTTATGACTTGTGGACTTCAATTCCTCAGCCAGCATCTGAGGAATTCTGGGAACTGAAGTCCACAAGTCGTAAAGTTGCAAAGGCTGGAAACCCATGCTCCAGAGTCTGTGGAAGAAAACTCCATAAGCTCCCTAACTTGTCATTGGCAAAAGCCATGATGACTAGGAAATTAAGAGAGCTGAAGTCCACCATTCTTGGAGGCCAAGAAGAAATGAATTGTTGGATTAAAATAAAATAAAAAAACCTTAGGACAAATATGGTTTTTTCTTTATATGGATAACTGAATTTAAAAAATGTTGGTATACCATAAAAAGAAATGTTTCCATTCAGAAAAGGGAAACCTACATGCAAAAGCTTTCTTACGGGCACCCTACACAGATACCAAAAAACAAATAGTTTTTTCAGTTATGATTTTGGAAACAAGGCTGAGCTGAATTTTGTTCCCATGACCTACCTTCCTTATAGAGTTTATAATCAATATGCAATATATTGTAAAGAGAATATACAATATTAGTCAATCGGCTGAAGAGAATTTGGCAGTACTAACCGGGCCAATAGTACATAGAGACCTTCTTCTTGGCTTTTGTCATAGTGACCCACAAGGGCTCGGATCCATTCCACCAAAGAGGCCGAAGGCTGTCTGGGTTCATACCAATGTCAAAAGACAGATTTGTCACTGGATCCCACATGTAGTTTCCAGTCATTTGATGGATTTCACAGTGGCAACCTGGAAGAGAAAAAAGTTGTTTTATACTGGTCCCTTAGATTTTCATTTGCAGTACAATCTTGGCTTATCAGTGAGCTATTATCAGCTACAAGGAATTCCATTGGACTCAATCAGTTAACGATCGTGCTGGTGGTTTTTTGGTTTTCTTGGTGCACTGAAGATGTTATGTATTTGAGTAATGAAATATTTGCAAGAAAATAATCAATAATCCAAGCACCAAGGACTCCACAGTTCAACCCTGACCTACAAATATTTTCTTCTATTGGAACCTTATCTTTCTCTTAATTATAAATGATTTGCCTTAAAAAACTTTTATGCACATTACTTATATTTTACATTTATGTTTTATTCCTATTTTTCAAACCACAATGTAAAACAATTATTTTGCAGAATTGCTCAGGAAATGTACACTGTGCAAAAATTATATTCTTGTTTTTTTAAAAAAATCCTGACAAGGATAAACTTTGAATTGTTTGTTTTCCTGACCTTAAAACACAATACCCATTCTTGTTTATAACTGATAATAGCAAACTAGATTAAGTGTTGATGATGGAATAAATGTCCTCCATAGGTAGAACAGCTTGTATGGTCTCACAGAAAAGGATCTACTACTGTTGCTCAATAAATGATTCCAGATGTTTGTTTATATATTTATTAGATTTAAACTGTCCCTTGGGAATGCAAGGTAAATAGCATTTCCCCTTTCTATTTTTATCCATAAACTAAACTGTGTATGAAGTAGTTTATATTGGGAGATAATTCCTGGTCCAGTCACCCAACAAGCTTGTCCATCTGGGAAAGGACTTCAACCTCCTGTTACTGCCCAGAGTCATAATGGTGAGAAGGGTGGCTATAACAATTGAATAAATTGTTAGGTGAATTGTCTCTTCTTAAATGAATGGCCATACATTCTAAACTTAAATCATTATAAAATATATCAAGATCAATCAGGAATATTCAGGCTGCTATGAGTTTCCTCTTGCAGATTCAACAGTGCAGGAAGTTATCCACCTTAGGGGTTTCTTATATCTTCAGCAATTTAAAATATGACTTTTATTACTTTTTTTGAACTGAATCTACTGCTATACTCAGTTTTTAAATAAATAACAGTTTATCATGGGCAAAGCCAATTTGGTGAAATGGTTAAAGCATCAGTCTAGAAACTGGGAAGCCATGGGTTCTATTCCTCCCTTAGGCACAAAGCCATCTGGATAATCTTGGGCTATGGCAAACCACTTCCAAAGTCTTGGCAAGAATACCCACGATACCAGGAATCTACTCTGATTCTAAGGCACACATACACACACTTGTGTCATGGGATAGTCAACCCAAGCTCCAGTACTAGAGGACCCACATTCTGGGAAGAAAGACATTTATACAGAAATCTATCCCTCCCTCATTCAATTTATTGAAATATTTACATAGAAACATCATCTACCACAGTCATTATGCCTTAATTATTTTAAAAGAATTCCTGTTAGATTGGGCGAGTGAGGGGCCAGGAGCCAGGTTGAAGTGAACAACAACTCTTTAATATACAGTGAGAATCCAGCAACTTTACAGTAGAACAGCTCTCCTTATATAGCTACTTGCCAAGTGTTTTAGCCAATGATCATTGAGCTTTTTCCCGCTCTTATTTTCCCTCCAAAATTAGATACATTTTATTTATTTATTTATTTTATTGAATTTCTATACTGCCCTACTCCCGAAGGACTCAGGGCGGTGCACAGCCATGAAATAAAACACATAGATATACAAAATTTAAAATCGAATAAAATGAATTAAATAAATTTGGCTGAATTAATACCCATAATTTAAAATACCCATAATTTTAAAATACATTAAAAATTTAAAATTTACACTTAAAAGGGAGAAGATTTAGGCGAGGCCAGCTTGATGAAATAAAAGCGTCTTCAACTCGCGGCGGAAGGTGCGCAGATCTGGAATCCTCCGTATCTCTGGGGGGAGCTCATTCCAGATCGTCGGTGCCCCCACAGAGAAGGCTCTCCCCCTAGGGGCCGACAGCCAACATTGTTTGGCCGACGGCACCTGGAGGAGCCCCTCTCTGTGGGAGCGTACTGGTCGGTGGGAGGCTGTTGGTGGTAGTATTCGGTCCCGTAAGTAACCAGGTCCTAAGCCATGGAGCACTTTAAAGGTGGTAACCAGAACCTTGAAGCGCACCCGGAAGACCACTGGGAGCCAGTGCAGCTCGCACAGGAGAGGTGTTACATGGGAGCTCCATGTTGCTCCCATAACCACCCGCGCGGCCGCACTCTGCGCCAGTTGGAGCCTCCGGGTGCACCTCAAGGGGAGCCCCATGTAGAGAGCATAACACTCCTCCCCTCCCAGAAGGCACTTTGACAACCATTTACGTACATAATCACGCAGGTGACTAGGGCGTTCCCTGATTCTAGTTGACCTGCGCAATTCAGTCTGAGGCGGGGATTTGGGCTGGTCAGTGGGTCCCTTTGTCTCTCCCAGCCCAGCCAATGCAACCTCCTGGATTTTTTTATGGGTGTCGCACTCTTCAGATGGGCCTGGCTTCTCAAGGGGGCGGCGCTGGACACCAAAGTTATCAGGTAAGTCCTCCGGCCACTTCAGGGTTGAGTTAGCTGTTGGATGAACGATTGGTGAGTCAGGGACTGGTTTGTCTGTTTTGTAGCCTGGCTCGTCGGGCATTGTTTGGCCCATACGTTTCCTTAAGTAGTCAATATGTCTGCGCCATACCCGTCCATTACTGACTTCGACAATATATGACCTGGGCCCGGTAACGTCAGAGATCTGCCCAGCCACCCAGAGGGGACCATCCACATAATTTCTTGCGAAGACCAGGGACCCAATAGAGAAACTCCTAGTCTTACTTTCTGCTTCCATGTACCCCTCAGGGGAGTAATTGGGGTGCAGCCTATCTAGGGTACAGCGGAGTCTCCGGCCCATTAAGAGCTCTGTGGGACTCCGTCCCATTGCCATGCATGGGGTAACATGTTGGGCTGCCAGGAAAGTATCGATCCTGGCTTGCCAATCCCCCAGCCCGAATCTGGCCAATGCCTCTTTGGCCGATCTCACAAATCTTTCAGCTTGCCCATTACTGGCCGGATGAAAAGGTGCTGTGAGTGCGTGATGGACCCCTATCTCCACTAGGTGCCCCTCAAATTGAATAGCTGTGAGTTGAGGGCCATTATCTGACACCAGGGTGTCCGGTAGCCCATGCGTGGTGAATAGTTTCCAGAGCGCTTTAATCACAGTCTCTGCAGTAGTGGAGTGCATTAATATGATCTCCAGCCACTTAGAATAAGCGTCCACCACAATTAGAAAGGTTTGACCATAGAATGGGCCAGCAAAATCGATGTGAATGCGAGACCATGGTCCCTGGGGCCTTTCCCACTCTTTGGATGGGGCCGTCAGGGGAGCGGGGCGAGATTCTTGACATGGGGTACACTTGGCTACCCATTTGGCAATGCTGTTGTCCATATTGGGCCACCAAACATAGCTCCTCGCCAATCCCTTCATCCTCACAATACCCGGGTGACCAATATGCAATGTGGTCAATACTTGTTCCCTTAGACACAGCGGAACAACCACCCGGTCACCCCATAGCAAACAACCCCCTTGCGTAGACAGCTCATGCTGTTTACAGATAAACAGTTTAAATTCCCCACCAACAGGGCCTTTCGTCCACTCTCTTTGCACCCAGCCAATAACAATTCACAACACAGAGTCTTTAGCAGAGGCCCTTGCAACTTCAGCAGAAGTGATAGGGCCAGAGTCCATAGAGTCAATAAGCAGAACAGGAATGCCTGGAGTCGGGTCCTCCAGCAAGTCCTGCAGCAGGCACCCACTGAGGGCATCGGCATGCCCAAAGCTCTGACCTGGCCAATGGATGAGTCGATAAGAGTAGGCAGCCAGAAAAATAGCCCACCTAGTTAGACGGGGGGACATGGCTGCTGGAGTGGGGCGGTCCCCAGCCAAAAGTCCTAGCAGGGGTTGGTGATCAGTAATGAGTTCAAAAGTCCTCCCAAACAGATACTCGTGAAACTTTTTAACTCCAGCGACAGCCGGAGTAATTTCTCTCAGTGCTGGACAGGGTACGGGAGAAATAGGCAATGGGGGCTTCTAGTCCATTCGGCAGTTTATGACTCAAAACAGCCCCCATGCCAAAAGGGGATGCATTGCAGACTAAGACAAGGGGAAGCAGTTCATTGTGTTGGATGAGGAGGCTGTCGGCTGAGAGGAGTCTTTTGACAGCTGCAAACACCTCAGCTTCCGCCGTACCCCAAACCCACAGGGATTTTTTTGCTAACAGTTTGTGGAGCGGTTCAACCACTGTGTCTTTGTTCTTTAAGAAAATTGAATAAAAGTTTAAAAGTCCCAGGAATGCCTGTAGCTCCGCCCTATTCTTTGGGGTTGGTGCATTATGGATAGCTATGGTTATACTTTCAGTGGAGTGTATGCCTACCCCATCGACGTTGTACCCTAAAAATTCAACAGCAGGCACTGCTATTTGACATTTGTCTTTTTTCACTCGCAGCCCCGCATCCTAAAAATAGTCAGCATCCTCCTTAGACGGTCCCCTACTTGTTGCTTGTCTGCTGCGGTGACAAGAATGTCATCAAAATAGGGGACGACCCCCAGCAGCCCTTGCAGCAGATGTTCCATCATGCTTTGAAATAGTCCGGGGGCAACATTAACCCTGAACTGTAGTCTTGTGCATTTGAAGGCACCTCTATGTGTTACTATAGTCTGTGCTTCCGCGGTAGCACCATGTACCAGCAGTTGCTGGTACGCCTGCGCAAGGTCGAGTTTAGCAAAAACCTTGCCGGGGCCCAAGGAATGGAGTAGGTGCTGCACAATGGGGACAGGATAGGCACTTTGCTGGAGGGCTTTGTTTAGGGTACACTTATAGCCGGTGCAGATGCACACTGACCCGTCAGATTTGAGACGGGTGGCTATCGGGATCTCCCATTTTGCATGGTTGACCAGTATTAGAATGCCCTGCTGGA